TTTCATATATACGTGGGTCCGGAAATGCATAGTTTTCAAGATATAGTGTATTGAACTTTTCAAAACAAATCGGATTTTGATGAATATCTCTAATATCGTTCCACCGATTTTCTTGAAATTTGGCAACGATATTTTTTGTCCTGAGTAGCTCATTTAGTCATGATTGGATTAGAATTATGAAATCCAGTGGTGTCCCGGTGGGCACCCTACCGAATATTATTATCAATAAAATGTGCGCCACTGATTTTTTTGGATTTTATATCTTCATATCCTATTGACCAACTGGAAATACAACTTTTCGGTCTCCTTGATTGTTTCGTATTCTGCTTCGTTTCCGTGTAAAAAAATAAATACCAATTTATTGTATATATTAAATTAGTGCAAAAAATTCTTTTTCGAGAAAATAACCCTTTGAAAACTATGCCGTGAAATGGAAGGACATCACTCTGAAACTTTGTAAAGATTATGTACTAATTTGTTGTTGACGAAGTTATTAGTGGAACAGAGTCAAAAATGTTGAGTTTTTTAATGTCGGAAAGAGTTATTTCATCAAGATAGAACAGGAGGACCTTGTTCAGATATTTCCATATGTTCTTCAATTTTCAGTAAAGGGTAGGTATTTGGCTTCAGGGGATCCAATTATAATCCAGACCAAGGACGCAAAAAGGAACATTAGTATACTAATATGTGTGCCATCAGATTTGAAATAAATCACTTCCATAGGAAGGAAGTAATAAACGAATATTTATTTTCAAAATATCACATTTCACATAGTGAGTTTTGGAAAAAATGTTATACGATTTTTTTGTAGTAATATTCAAATTGAATCACCCCCTTGAATTTTTGAATACAATTTCCGGACAAAATGAGATCTTCGTTTCATTGATGACTATTAGATTGTATAACATACAGTTTATTTAACGCAACTTTACATACAGGGTGAGCGGAAATCGTGCGCAAAAATATTTGGAGGCGATTCAACATGAGAGAACATGATTTTTTTTCATCTGTATCTGGGTCCAGGTAGGCGTATAGTTTTCAATAATACAAAGTGTGTCATACATGTATTATGAAATATTTGAAGGAAATTAATCTTCATCTCATTCTGCGTCTATGGACATGTATCACACATTTATTTTCACCCCAGTTTTTGAAGGAATTTTTTGCACAAATTTATACAATAAATTGGTATTTATTTTTTTCCACGGAAACGAAGCAAAATATCAAAACAGTTCAAGAGACCTAAAAATTGTATTTTCAGTTGGACAATAGGATATAAAAATATATAATTCAAAAAATCAGTGGCGCACATTTTATTAACAGTAACATTAGGTAGGTTGCCTCCCGGGACGCCAGTGGATTTCATAATTCCAATTCAATTATTGCTAAATCAGCCCCACATGACAAAAATCATCATTGCCAAATTCCAAGGAAACCGGTGGAAGAATATTTGAGATATTCTTGAAAAACTATTTATTTTTGAAAGTTTAACACACTGTATGTAAGTATTTCGTAAACTATGCATTGCCGGACCGACGTACATATGAAATAAATTTCTTATCTCCTCATCTAGAATCACCCCCTTGATTTTTTGCGCATAATTTCCGGACACCCTGTATAATGCTCGACGAACATCGTGCGTACCTAGAGAGGATAGGGAGGCAAGGTATACAGGGTGTTAACAAATAAGTGTCGTAACGGAAAACTGGATTCCTCATCAAAAAAGAGACATCTTTTTCCTTTTCGAAATTTTTCCCCTGGCTTCCGTTTTAAAGATATACAGAGCGTCAAAACAACGCTTTCACCACTCCAAATTGAACACACTTCACAAAATACTTGATTAACGCAACAATTTGAAAACCAGTACTCAACAACCTGACACATTCAATTGAAAATTTCATTTGACAGTTCTGAAGTAATTTATTTCCATATGGTAACTTTCGACGATTTCAGAGATACCAGAATTTTTCAAGTTTCCATTCATAAAAAGTCATTTTTCTGTAAAACTGTTTACTTCAGAGCTTGTAAGTAAGAATACCTTTTTTGTGTGAAAGATATTGGCGCTTCAGAATGTGCTTTGACAATTACAATTTCTCCAGTGGCATAAAAGTTTAAGGGGTTAAACCCTTACGAGGCATCGAACTTTCTGCCAATATAGAATTTTTATTAATGATGAGGTATGTACAAAGGCTCAGCTTCGTAGCTCAAACGGTCTCAGAGATGAGAGCAAATATCTGAATGTTTTTTTTGACGCCCTATATCCTGAAAACGGAAGCCCGTAGGAACATTTCGAAAATATAAAAAATCTCTATATTTATGAGAAATCTACAGTTTTCCATTGCGACACCAATTTCTTAACATCCTGTATGGTTTTTTTTTGGCTAACAATTCCAAAGCTTTGCCATTCTAATAGACAAACGAATTTTGGTAAAGAGTTGTTCGACATATTCCGAGGTTGACAACGAAGGGATGTGCTGGGCTTGTCGAGCATGTCTGGCTGGTATTGCAAGTGATGGAATGATAGCAGAGATTTCTGAAGAATATTCACAGTTGAAGTATCTATAGAAAAGTGAAAGATCGCCTATTTTTCTACGATGTACAAAGTATTAGTGAGTGTGTCATCACCCACCAGGAAAATATCTCGTCTCTGGAAGGTATCTAAGAGCATCAGCGAGTGTTTGGGTGCTGAACCCCATCATAATATATGTGGTAACAGTATTATTCTGAAATATGCCCTATCTGTGCTTTGTAGATCATGAGGAGATGTTGAGGTGTAATGTAGCTGTTCTACAGAATAAAAATCAGAATTTTTGTTCCATTGAAATGATGTTATGTGTATATACATATTTTTATCGGAGGGAGAATGAAAATTCTCAACTTTAGGAGATTTTGTTCTCGAATTCTTATCGTGTGTGTTCAATAGATATAATTCAATACTCGTCGTGGCATATAGCCAGGAAAGTTGTTGTTTTCTGTTGAATAAACCAAGAAAGAATTGATATTTTTATCACATAGAGAATGCGAATTCTCAATGTATTCCTTTATATTTATATAGGTATCCATTTTTTCATGTTCATAGTTCATCTGAGAATATTCCTTTTCAATACTTTCACCCAATCAAGGGGTTCAAACTTAAACGATGGAAACTTTTTATTTTTATAGACCTTCAATTGCAGATTCGTGATAAGGTTTTCTCAATTGAGAATTCCTCTTTACTTCCTTTATAATGAATATAAATTTGTCATATATCCAAGAAAGAATAATATTGATATTTTCTTGGACTCCTAAGATTGTACCGTTGTTCAACTTCTCAATTCAAGAACACCCTGCTCATCATATCGGAAGGAATACTGATGATGTTTTCCGGTATTTCTCAAATATATCTGAACCTGAGCAAAACTGTACGACAGACTCTGCGATTCCATAGACTTGGAGGAAGATAAAGGTAATCTTGTACTGGAGTTAGAAATTGTGGTTATTTTTACGACTCCTAATTTCGAAAGCAAGCAACTATGCTGAGTCGCAGGGCATAAAATTTATGGTCCACTATAAGATTGCAACTGGATCTAATAAAAGGTTATACGTTATGCTGGAAGACTCTGAAATGCAGCTCTTATCTGTAATGATTTCATCAAATATCGATTTACTATAAACGTGTTCAAGTCTATTGTATGTTCGGAATGGGCGATAGGAAATCGAAATTCCATGAATACCAATATATTTTCTATAAATTTAGTGTATCCAATCTCTATTACACCTATTTTATGTATTCCTTCGAAAAAGTTTGGAAGAACTCCGGATTATGGAAAAAATATGCAATGTCAATGTTGATTAAACAATTCAGGACAGCAGAATTTCAGGGCATAGTATAAAATTACTGACACTGCTCGCAGTTGATTGTATAGGTTCTGATATCGGATGTCGCAAAATAGTTATTAACGTTACAAGGAATGTAGCAAATAACGGATGAGGTTAAATATTGTAATCCGAGGCGCAGCCGAGGTTATAACAACCGAATCCGTTATTTGCGAATCGGCCGTGTGTCGTTCACGACTTCTCGTATTGCCGCTGAAAGATTACATTTCGATTCCGGACATATTTCCTTCAACAAAACCTGTCCTTTTAGTAACGAGTATTTTTAGCACGAGTGGAGCAGAGCGGACCGTTACGCACTATGCTTTTTCTACGAACTCCGAAAATTACATTAACATACCTGCTATTCCTGCTAACCTACAAAATAATTCGAAAGAAATGGGAATTGAGAACATAATACATGCAACTGCATGCAACCAGCGAGACACGTATTAGTGATATTGGTTGTAGAAGTGTCCAGTCCATTGCTTACTAAACTCTGTTTCACGTTTATTGTCATGCTTAGCGCAGAATATAGTTATTTGTTTAACTAGGCAGCAAAGTAGTAGATTGACTGCCGTGGCTGAATTCATAGCCGAGCGTAGCGAGTACCCACTTTGCTGCCTAGGCAGGAAAAGTAATACTTTGCTGATTGATATGTGTCAGCAAACTTAATATTTGCTGCCAATCGGAGGAAAAATAAATTGTTCTCAAAGATGGATGCTTCATTTTTACACTTCTTGGAGATATGCAAGTACCAGAACATTCTCTTCTATTTCAATTCGTCTACATTTCGCAAATATTTTTAATGAAGAATTCTGAAACAAACGAATATTGTTTGAATAATTCTGATACAAAATTTGAAAATAACAGTTAACAGTTAATACAATTGACAGACCAGACATGTCTCAAATTACTGAAGCTGCAGGTGTTTAATGAACTGTGTTGCCATGGTAATGTGTTTAAGAAATCGTGTTGCCATGGTAACGTGTTTAATATTTTGAATGAATCACAGATCGTCAATCCGTGATTAATAAGCGTGGTACATATCCGTACGCTAAATGCCATTTTAGTTATGTGAGTAGAAAGAGTATATTTTGATATTTTTGATTCGATTTGATTTGATAAAACCTCCTTGACTTTTTCAGCATTCTTGGAATTCAGAGCCCTTGCGGCTGTGGAGGCGGCCCGTTACACCTACCGCCACATCCCCCTCTACTACTCCTCGGCCGCCGCCATCTACCCGCCGGTCTACCACCTGCCCACCATATCCGTCTACCCGCCGCCCTCATCCCTGCTGGCCGCCCAGCCCACCCGCCCCTCGCCAGCGGCGGCTCTGTCGCCGCCTCCTGCCAATGGGCAGCTCAGGCCGGGCAGTCAAGCGTGACAAGGTATATCGACATTTTCTATCATTTCTCGTATAATAGGTCGCCAGCACGATGACCGACCTTGGAGGCAAAATGTTGGAACACAACCTCACTCTTTTGTGAAATATCAAAACACAACCTCACTTTTTCATTTGTTTACAGAGGAATCAAAAGATTGATATAGTTTTCCACAATATTTTGGCATACGAATCGTGTTTCTTGCGCTATTCATTAACTCAAGCATGCCTTCGCATTGTGCTGTTGTACAATGCACAAAAAATGCAGCAAGAGACTAAGGAATATGATTTTTCAGGTAAATAGTAATCTCATTTAGTTATCATTATGAAATGTTGTCATTCATTATTAAAATTCATTCTGCCTTCTGCCACTTCTGCAATACAAGTTAATACTGCTAATAGATTGAAAATGTCTACAACACACATGATCGTCAGCATGTCAGACCAGTCCTCCCGATTGATTACATGAATCCAATCTTCTTGCATTATTTTAGAAATTTCAGCTGTATTTCTATTAGCTCCTATTGCAGAAGGAATTCCGATGGAAAATCAGAGAAATAACCAAATTTCAAAAATGAAAACTATATGTGAGTCATTATAGTAGGTACTTACTTTCAAATCATAATGTACCATCCGGATTCCTTCATCTTCCGCTGCAGTTTTTGTGCATTTTACAACAGCACAATGTGATGGCATGAGCGAATTGATGAAGATCGGAAAAATACGATTCGTATGCCAAAATAATTGTGGAAAACTACTCGATCACTTGTGAACAAAAAAGAAAAGTGAGGTTGTGTTTCAATGTTGTGCCTCCAGCGTCGGTCATCTGACAGTTCTGGCACGCAACCCATGGGGTTGTGAGGTGGTGGAGGCATATGGTGGCCCGCCTTGATGTTTCAAATGTTCATGTTTGTTCCTGGACGAACCCGATTTTAGGATAAGCTAGTTTTTCCTAGGCTGAACCAGTATATCCGAAGAGCAACAGGATCAACTGAACTGGTCAACATTGATAACGTCATGGTCCAAAATATAGCCTGAATTCAAAGTAGAATAACTCACGAATTCCCTTACCAATTTGAAATCGGTTTTCACCGATGATTAGCCTAATCTCTTGACAGTTTGTTGTGGCAATATGAAACCACTGTAATGTCAAATAACATTGCTACAGGGTGATAATTGAATGAGTGTAAAATTGCAGCGTGGTCGTCACATTACCGTTTGGACAGATATTTTTTTTATTCTTTTTCTCACCTGTATCCTCTTGATTGATGCTTTCTCTCAAAAAGTTTTCGGAATTTTCAAATTCAGAGCTTTGATAATCGTGTTATGAATATTCATTCAAAGTGATGCATTTTTTCGACGATTAATTGAATGAAATTGGAAGTTGGAATTCTTTTTCGAAGAATCAACGTTGTATGTATTATAGTCGTCGGATATGTGATTGTGTTCGAACACAGAAAATTCTGAAGAAGTCTTTACAGAGTGATACAAGAAATACTGAATGATGGAATGGAGAATAACGTATTCTTCAGTAAATGAAACATAAATTTCTCTGTGTTACTAGTGAAATAATGGAGTGTTACTTCGTCATGAGGATGTCTGGTGTCTGACCTCGAAATGGTTTTGTAATTTCTCGGATCGAAGGTCATATATGAAGGTACGCATTTTTAATCAAAATGATGCATTTTCGTTGAGATAAATTATAGAATTCAAAAAATTGTAGTTCCAGAAGTATAAAATTTATGTTTATTCTTGACAATGGATATACAAGGTGCGATAAAAAGTGTGTCCAGATTGTCCCGGAATGAAGAAGAATCTGTTAAAACGTAATGAGAATCGCAATGTTCCGAAAAAGAAATATAGTGTCGGTCATTGTCGAAAATTGTGAACTGTATAAATACAGTTACTTATATGAGAAAATATGAAAGAGACTGCAGAATTGCCAACAATTCAAGGACTCCGAACTTCAAATGCACAAACAACACATAAACTAGTAATTTTGAAATATTTTGTGTTGTTTATGGATTTAAAGTTCGGAGTGCTTGACTTGTTATCGATTTTTTGCTAATATTTTGTGAGGAAGGAACATACACCTCCATCAGTAGATCATTCGAAAACGTAGTCATTGAATTTTTATCAATCAGCTTGACTTGTTATTCATTTATTTCAGGAAAAACCAGTTAAGACTATGTCAAATTAGTGCATCCTATCGCTCTTCGGATATACTGGTTTAGCCTAAGAAAAACTAGTTTATCCTAAAATTGAGAGAATTTAGCATCGTATATAGTATGAATAACTAAATTCCCAATATAAATCGCAAATAATTTTTGGGCTGAGGAAATCATAAAACCATGCGCTATGTCTGTTGATTATGTTCAAATTTCACGAAATATTTGTTGAATGGCATTATTTTGTTCTTTTGTCAATTCAATCACATCATTCCTGAAGATTGAAAATACATTGTTATATGTTCATTTAGCACATATGCACACGCAGAAGATTACCCATAAAAATGGATGATAGAGATAATAAAAGCGACAACGTGACAAAATTCATAGATAAACCCAAATTTAATTAATGGTATAGTGCCGTATGCAAAAATAGTCGATTTGAAACGACCGTTGGGGATAATCCCGAATAGGAATTTCTACGTACCGCAACATTAACCGTAGTCGTAAAACGCACTTTATATCCGTTTTATGGCATTTTGTAAAATATTGCAGCGACGGAATAATATATATGCAACTGACTAGACGATCAGAATCTTACGTTATTATACCTACTCTGCTAAATTAAGTGCTATGCAATATAGAGGGTGTTCCCGAAATTGGAGCGATAATTTCACACCAAACATTTTCGATCAATTTAAAGCCTGTATTCCGTATCGTTACCATAGTAACTAAACAGATTCCTTGGAATTTTTTCCCTCCTCCTTGGGGGACGCAGCATGAAATTACACTGGAAACTTCTGACGTTTATAGGTTAAATGACATTTACATTCAACTTCAGATTATTTCGAGTTCATTCTATGAGGCAATAAATAAAAATCATTTATCAATCGTTTTCCTTATGATATTATGTAGGTTTTGAATTGACTCGGCCGTTACTTGATGGAAATCCATGACAAATGTAAAAACTTCACGAACGATAAGATTTCCACAAAATTCTCAAACACACGACATGTTTCGCTAACACAGTAGATTCGTCAGGTGATACTGGTACAAGAACAGAACACCCTCTTCTTCTTCTTCTTCTTCTTCTTCTTCGAAGCACTGGTGGGCGGTGAACCCCCTGCACGTGGGCCTCCTTATTCGGGCCCATTGTGCGCCCACATGTTTCGACATTCAGCTGGGTATGCCGACTACCTTGGAGAAGTTCAGCAGCTTCCTCAGCTGAATCTCTTTTACGTCCTCTGGCCTCAAAATTATGTTGCCAAGGACAGCTCTCCTCTGATGCGTCAGTGCTGGACACTCAGTGAGGACAGGTGATGACGTTTCGTGATCTTCCAGGCACCATCTGCAAAGGGGGTCATCCTCGATCCCAATAAGCTCTAGGTGCCTATTGAGGTGGTTGTGCCCAGTTAGGAGCCCCACTACCATTTTAAGGTTTCGCCTGTTTAGGAATAAATCCTCTTTTGCGAGCCTCTTCGAAGGTTCCTTTATGTGGAGCTTCGATTGTCTCATTCCTGGTGTGTCCTGCCATATTTTGAGGAATTGCTTTTGCAGCTGTTCCTCTATAGAGGACATTGCCAGGCTATTTGGTATTCCCAAGATTGGTTCCGGTCCGACCGAGGTCCGTCCTGAACCGATCTTAGCCAGTCTGTCTGCCTCCTTGTTTCCGGGTATTCCCGAATGTCCCGGAACCCACATGAGGCTGACTTTTCTTGATTTTGCCAAGGTTTCCAAGGCTTTTCTGCACTCGGACACCAATTTGGATGTGATCCTTTTGGATTGCAAAGCCAGTATTGCAGCTTTGCTGTCCGAACATATAGTGATTGGTCTACGACCTCTCATGCTTAGGTTTTCTTGGACGCAGGTGAGTATTGCAAGTACTCCTGCCTGGAACACTGAGGCATATTCGCCCAAAGGAACTGAAATTTCTTTCTACAGAACACCCTATATTTCATCGCATTTTTAGATTCTCCCTAAAGAGCTGATTATATCGATACATCATACTTGGGGTCTATCGAGAGAGATTACTGAGATATAGGGTGTTCTAAATCAATATTTTTCAACTTTAGGATTTCTTTGTGTCGAAACTATTCATTATTGGTCAAAACGGCTCCCATGTCCTTATCTCAACTTTCGACTCACTATTTACTGATATTCAATCGGAACAGATACTGAAGGTGGTTCGAGATTCAGAATTCTGATCACCCTAAATCTGTTCCGATTAAATATCAGTAAATAGTCTTTCGGAAGTTGAGATATGGACACGTTTTGGCCGATAATGAATAGTTTCGACACAAACAAATCCTAAAGTTGAAAAATGTCGATTTTGAACACCCTATATCTCTGTAATCATTTCCGATAGACCCCAAGTTTGATGTATCGATGAAATGAGCAGCAACACTGCATTTCTGAAATTATTTTATATGAAGAGAGCGTATTGTAAAATATAAGCATGTCTTTCTCCTGACTGATTCTCGATATAGATATAGTGTAAGTTCGTCGTGACATACCCTAGGTATATTTCTATACCTATGAAAGCAAGTCAGAATAAAATAAAATCTTCTCTAGGACATATTTTCATGTAACCAACTGAAACTGTGAATCATAATTAGTTGATTCTCAATTAATGAAAGAATGCTCATGGAATTCATATTCCGAGAAGATTGTTCCAATTTAGAGGCAGTGAGATATATCCTTCATATTAATATTCAGTGTCATTTTCTTATATCTATCAAAGATAAATAGTCCCAAAATCAGGAAATTCAGATATCTAAGAAATTTGAAATTCCTTATCAAAATTAGGAATATAAGTACAAAGTGATCTATTTAAGGGTAC